GCCCCCCGGCCGTCACTCACAGCCCCCGGGACCCCCCCGCGTGCAGGGCTGACCTGGGCGCGTGATGGAGCAGGGCCTCAGGCCGGTACTTGGGGTAGTTGTAGGATCGGAACTCCTCGTTGGCCAGGATCCCTGGCCAGGTCTCCTCGGTGGGGGTCCCTGGGTGAGGGACAGACGGGGTGAGGGACAGACGGGGTGCGGATACGACAGGGGCCCATGGAGCCCCCCCCCCCCCCCCCCCCGCAGCACCCCGCCCCCTGCCCCCCCCCTGAACCACGGTGACCCCCCACTGAACCCCCCGCCCGCCCCCTGCAGCACGGTGACCCCCGCTGAGCCCCCACCCACCTCCTGAAGGGGGGATGATGTGGGGATTTTCTCGTGTTATGTTGTATGTGAGTTTTATTGTTTTGCATGAACGCTGTGTGTGCCTCAGTTTCCCAGGGTGCTGCACTAATGCCTAGGTGGTGGGAATAAGGGCGTGTGACTTTGGGGGGCAGGTGAGACGGGTGGAGCTGCCTGCCGGTAGGCGATGGCCGGTGCCCTTCGTAACCTGAGACCCAGGAGGGGGATGCGACTCTGCGAAGACAAGGAGGAGCAAGGCGGGTGGCTGAGGTGGGGTGGCTGGAAGCTGGCAGTGTGCTTGGGGGGTCTGGAAGAGGGGGGGAGAATCCAGGGCATCCGGCCCAGGACTCCCCAAGATGGACTTGGCTGAAAGTCCCTGATTTCTGTGCTAACAAGCTCTGTTCTACGCCGTGTTCCCGGCTGGCTGCGGAGTTGGGGGGCAGGGCCCTCTGGCTCCCCCCCGACCCCCCCCCCCCCCAGGGCGGACTCGCTGCGGGAGGCGCACGGGAGGACGGGGATGCTGAATGCTCCGGGCTCAGCCCCAGGAAGGTGGAAGCTGTGGCAGCTTCTTGCCCGGGGAGAGGAGGCTCCCCCTGAGTCCCAGCTGGCTTCGTCGGGAGCAGCTCCGGAGCATCGCCCCAGGGACTCCGTGACACACGGCGCCCCCCACCCGCGGCACTACAGCCCCTGCCAAGCCGGCACCCTCCGACCATGCTCCCCGCAGCACAGCACCCCCTGCGGAACCCGGGCCTGCCCCCAATCGCCCCCGCTGACCCCCCGCCGAGCGCCCCCCTCACCGAGGATGCGGAAGATGAAGTGCAGTTGTTCCTCCACAGTGGAGCCAGGGAAGAGCGGGCGGCCCGTGGACATCTCATAGAATATGCAGCCCACGCCCCTGGGGGAGAGGTGCTGGAGTCAGGGTGCCCAGAATTGGGGGGGGTCTCCCTGGTACAGCCCCTCCCCCTCCCCGGTTCCCATGGGTGCTCAGAGGCACAGCCCCCTCGCCCCAGCACGACTGATGGCAAAACCACCCGGGCTGCAGAAGGGGACCTGCCCCCTGCCTGGGCTGGCACATCCCACCCCCACCCACCCCCTGCCTTCCCCTCCCCTGCCTGGGCTGGCGCATCCCACCCACCCCCGCCGCCTGCCTTCCCCTCCCCTGGGCTGGCACGTCACACACCTCCCTGCCGCCTGCCTTCTCCTCCCCTCGCCCGGGCTGACACGTCCCGCGCCAGGTGGTCTGAAGGTCCAGGACTGGGGCGGGGGCATCGCTGTCACTGATCAGGCCCCGCTGGGCAGACCGGGGTGGGAGGCTGGGGGCTGCGTGGGGGAGGGGGCAGCACTTCGGGTGTGGAGTCCAGGGGGTCCCCATGTGGTGAGAGAGCAGGAGAGGCCGGGGCCAGATAACGGAGCTGGACTGGGCCAGGAGAGGAAGGGGGTCCTGGAAGGGATAGGAGGGGGGCAGAGGACCAGTATGGGCTGGGAGAAGGGGGGTCAGGGTCAGGTGGGAGCAGGAGGAGGGGGGCGGGTCCCAGGCCGGGCGGGGGCAGGAGGGGCGGGGCGGGTCCCAGGCCCAACCCGCAGCCCCCCCCGGCTCACCACATGTCGATCTGCGTGGAGTACTCGGTGGAGCCCAGCAGGATGTCGGGGGGCCGGTACCAGAGCGTCACCACCTCGTTGGAGTACGTCTTAGTGGGGATGGACTTGGCCCGCGCTAGACCTGGCAGAGAGAGGGGGATGGCACTGGGGGGTTCCGGGGCTCACAGCTTAAACTCACTGCACTCATTGACGAGCAGGTTCCGGGGGGCGGGTTGGGGGGCTCTGGGAGGTTCTGGGGGGCTCAAAGTCAGCCAGCTTGAGCCGCTCGTTGACGAGTGGGTTCTGGGGGGCAGGGGTGGGGGTTGATTCAGGAGGCTCTGTGGGGCCCTGGGGGGTTCCGGGGCTCACCGAAGTCAGCCAGTTTCAGCTCGCCCCGCCCGTTGCTGAGCAGGTTCTGGGGGCGGGGTGGGGTTTGGGGGTTCAGGAGGCTGGTGGGGATTGGGGGGCCCTGGGGGGGTTCCGGGGCTCACCGAAGTCGGCCAGTTTCAGCTCGCCCCGCTCGTTGATGAGCAGGTTCTGGGGTTTGAGGTCGCGGTGCAGCACCTTCTGGCGGTGGCAGTACGCCAGGCCCCGCAGCAGCTGGAACAGGAAGAGCTGGGGGGGGGACGGAGAAACGCCGTCAGCCTGGCACAGGGGGGCCCCCGGGAGCTCCCCCAGCCC